AGCTGATGTCACTGTGGACATTATTGGTGCTGCCTGAGTCCCATCCATAACAAAGGCCGGAAGCGCAGACCAACCCAGCGTCAGGGACCCCGACCGGCCCCTCACTCTGCCCTGGTCAGCTGTGTAGCACTGGGGAGGTCATGAGGCTGCCTGGCCCTCACTGGATTCAGTCGTCCCCTCTGTAAATGGTAAAGAAACATGAGCTCTGCTGACCACGCAGTGTGACGCCAGTCACTGAAATAGTGAACAGGAACATGCAGCCAAAACTGGGTTTTTATTGTTTCTCTCCCCATTGTTGGTTTTCTCCCCTCCCTCACAGCCTCTGCATTAGCCCCCAGTAATGCCCTGTTCTGCACCGTGCACCTCATACCTCATACCCCCAGCCCTGCTATGCCTGCAGCTCATGCTGTCACTCCCTCCTCCCTCTAGTGAGCCCCCACCTTCCTTCCACAGCCAGCTCCCCTTGCACTTCCGTGGAGAAGCCTCTCTCACCTCCCTCAGTCTCCTTATCTCATGGATGGATGAGAGATCCTCAGCTTCCTTATTGGGTGGTTGTAATCCACCTGACATAAGGAGAGGTGTCTCTAAAGGATAGATGGATGGATGGATGGATGGATGGATGGATGGATGGATGGATGGATGATGGGTGGGTGGATGGTGGATGATGGATGATGGATGGGTAGGGGGATGGTGGATGATGAATGAATGGATAATGGATGAATGGGTGATGGATGAATGGATGATGGATGGATGATGGATGGATGGATGGATGATGGATGAGTGAGTGGATGGTGGATGAGGGATGATGGATGGATGGATGGATGGATGGATGGATGGATGGTGGGTGATGGATGGATGATGGATGAATGGATGATGGATGGATGAATGATGGATGAGTGAGTGGATGATGGAGGGATGATGGATTAGTGAGTGGATGGTGGATGATGGATGATGGATGGGTAAATGGATCAATGATGGATAAGTGGATGGATGGATGATGGATGGATAGATGGTGGATGGATGGATGGGTGATGGATGGATGGATGGATCAATGATGAATGAGGGAGTGGATAGTTGGATGATGGATGGATAGATGATGGATGGATGGATAGATGGATGATGGATGGGTCAGTGGATGGTGGATGATGGATGGACAGATAATGGATGGATGGATAGATGGATGATGGATGGGTGAGTGGATGGATAGATGATGGATGATGGATGCAAAAGTGGATGATGGATGATGGACAGGTGGGCAGATGGATTATGAATGGATGGACGGGTGGATGATACATGATGGATGTGCAGATGATGGATGGGTAAATGATGGATGGGTGGGTAAGGGGATGGATAGAAGGATGAGGGAAAGAGGAAAAATGGGAGCAGGTAAGGGTTAACCTACTGTGAGAAAACTATCAAAGTAGGATGTAGCACCCAAGTAAATATAAGCTATTTCTGTTATTTGTTTGTATCTCCTTGACTCCAAGTTCTATTCATCTTGGTAAATATCAGCTCTGTTAGGCATGACTCATTAACTTGGTTCCCTCAACAGACACCGATTACCAACTGTGTGCCAGGTCTGTACCTGGTACTTTGGACACAAAGCTGGACAAGACTCAGTCCTCAGGGCACTTTGGGTCTTCCAGGAGAGTCCAGTCTGCAGCAGATGTGGGCAGGGTTGTGGCTGTCCAAGTCATGCTGCATCTCCAGGGTTAATGAGGGAGGCAAAATCAATTCCAGAGGCACGAGGGAAGCTCATTCTGGAAGGAAGAGTGGGGTCTCACCAGCAGGAGGACAGAGAGGGACAACACAGCCACAAGCACAGAAGGGCAGGGATAGGAGGTGTGGGGGGCACCATGCACATAGGGCGTCATGTGGGGCAGATGTTGGGGTAATGAGGGAGGGGAGAAAGCCAACAATGGGAGAAACAATGAAAACCTGGTTTGGGCTGCACGTTCCTGTTCACTCTCAGCAACTAGTCACAGCTGTGCGGTCAGCAGAGCACATGGTCCTGCCCCATTTTACAGAGGGGGCCACCAAATACAGGAGGCCCAGGATGCTGATGGCTCTGCAGCCTGCAGGCGCCTCCCTGTCCTGCTGAGCCTCACAGCCTCCCCGGAACCCTCTCCTGCAGGGAGTCCGAGCAGCCCACTCTCCTCAGCCCTGCAGGAGCTCTGAGTTCTGCAGTCCTCCCCTCTCTCTCCAGGTGACTGATCCCCTGCAGGGGCCATGCAGGCATGGGCCGAGAAGCAGTTTCCTGCCCTTCCAAGAGGCCCCTGACACCTGCCTCCTTGAGGGAGATCTCTCAGAACAACAGTCAGGGCTGTGTGATGAGGCACATGTTGCCTCATCACTAGGGGTACCAGGAGCCAGCGCCCCACTGCACTGAGCCCTGGCCCTATGTAGGCTGGGCCTGGTCACCAGGCCACAGTCACCCTGGTTTGGGTGGAGGCCATGTGGAACACCCCTGAGCCTGATTCGCTGCTGTGTTCCCACCTCCTAGGTCCAACCACCCCTGCCAGCCCTGCCCTCAGTTCACCCTGTCACCTTCAGGCAGTGTGACTGCCTCTTCCTGGAAGCCTCCCCTGGCTCCCCAGCCCTCCCTCCCTGAGATGCCTGTGGCCTCACTCTCAGGCCTGTCCAGGTGGCAGTGGCTTACACTGCCTGATATTGGAGCCCAAGGTCAGCAAACGTCTTCTGTAAAGTACCAGGTGGTCCATATTTTAGGTTTTGTGGGGCATACAGTCTATGTGCAGATACTCGGCTCTGCCTGGCAAGTGTGAAAGCAGCCATAGATAATGTGTCAATAAACGAGCATAGCCATGTGCCAATAAAACTTTATTTACAATAACAGTGATGGGCAGATTCAGCCCACAGGCCATCGCTTGCTACATGTATAAGTTGGATCATGTGATGCCCCTTGGTGACTCACAGCTGTCCACAGACCGTTCAGACACCTCATGGAGCACCAGGCCCCTCTGTCATTCCTCAGATCTTCTGTTGTCACCACAGTTGTTGGCAACAGTAACTTGCTGTCATGGGGCACCTACTCTGTGTTGGGCCCACGTTTGGCCCTGGAGACACAGTGGGTGATGGATGAGACAGCCATGGCCCCCAGAGCTCAGGTTGGCAAGGGACACAGACAACGATCAAGGGAGGACACAGCACATGTAAAAGTGCAAGCCAGGAATGAGTCATGGATGAAGAGCAGGCTGAGCTGACAGCATGCTCGGCTGGAGGGCCAGGAGAGAATTCCGTGGGAAAGGACATCTGGGGGCTGAGGAGCTTGATTCAAGATGAGGCCACAGAGGGGTTAGCAGCCATGACACATGGAGTGCTGCGGCCATGTTAAGGGTTTGGATGTATGCTAGGGAGCTTTTGCCGCGTAACAAAAGATCCCAAAACTTAGCAGCCTAGAACAACCACTATTTATTTCTATTTATTTAGCTCACAATTCCACAAATTGGCAATTTGGGCTAGGCTCAGCTGGAAAACCCTTCCATCCTTGGCTGGGCTTATTCATCCATCTCTCATCAGCTGCCACTTTGGCTTGGGGCTGGCTGGTCTTGGAGGGAAGGAGGAAGGAATAGAAAGACAGAGGGATGGAAAGGTAGAAAGAGGGAGGGACGGAGGGTGGATGGGTGGATGGATAGATGGATGGGTGGGTGAATAGAGGGATGGTGGATGGAGGGATGGTGGATGGATAGATGGATGGGTGGGTGAATAGAGGGATGGTGGATGGATAGATGGATGGGTGGGTGAGTGAATAGAGGGATGGTGGATGGGTGAGTGGGTGGATGGATAGATGGATGTAGGGCAGATAGAGGGATAGTGGATGGTTGGGTGAGTGGATGGATAGATGGATGGTTGGGTGAGTGGATGGATAGATGGATGGATGGGTGAATGCAGGGATGGTGGATCAGGGGGTGCGTGGCTGGGTGGAGAGATGGATGGATGATGGTTGGAAAGAGAAAATATTGGTGACCATCTGCTGTTGGTAATTCCTTATGGAGCCAGTTTATGGAACTTGAGCGTGTTTCACTGAATCACACTGCTAGGAACTGGTCTCCTCCCTTAACCTCTTAGAGAGAAGCAAGACTCAGGATTGTTTGTCACTTGGAGAGCATTTCGCAGGGTCCCTTTTTTGCTTTGGTCCCCAGAATCCCCTCCCCTAATGGTACTGATGAGAGGCGGACTGTGGTCCCAGCAGGGAGCTGCCCACAAGCTTGTCCTCAGCTGCCACCTCAGAAGTTCATGCCTCTGGGTCAGAACAGAGGTGTGGAAAAGCCACCTCTGCCAGCTCAGGGATTTTGGCACTGACGGACTCCCAGCAAGGGCTCTGCAGAGAAAGGCCATGAGACTCCTTCAATGCCTAATAAAATGCACTCATCCCGCCAAGCCTTATTTGCCATTTGAAGCTCACACCTGCGCCTGCGCGGTAAACTGCCCTGTCAGGACTGCGTTTTCCAGCAGAAAGCATGCTTGCATCTCCACACCTGCAAAGAGAAGGGAAAGGGTTTGTCTTTTCTTCCCATTTGAATGTCTGACCCACAGTTCAGCTGGACAAGGTAGACACTCAAGAAACGAGGTCCCTCCTGACCCGGGTCTGTGGGGCATCCCTCCCTTTGCAAACTGTCCCTGCTTGGTTTTCCAGACCGAATGCAACCCCAGTGCCCTCTGGGCTCCCCTGTTCTCCTTCCTTCTATCTTGGCACCAAACGTGATCTACCCCTATTAACGGCAGGACCACAGAGATGAAAACACAAGCAAACCTCTTCATGCCACACCTTAAGCCATGGCGAGGGGAGGAGAAACTTACTCCGATAGACAGTGTCATCCGGGAGGCTTGGAGAAGGCCCTGCGCCCAGCACACAGCCCCCGATGAAAGAGAACCGGCTCCAGGAACTCCGTTCCTGTGAACAGATTTCTTTCCATAAGTGCCCTGTCAATTAAAACCCAAACTGATTCTCTGTTCTTTCTCAACTGGTGTCTCCCTTCCAGAAAGTTCAGCAGTACACAGTCATCGTTCAGGCCACAGACATGGAAGGAAATCTCAACTATGGCCTCTCAAACACAGCCACAGCCATCATCACGGTGACAGACGTGAATGACAACCCGCCAGAATTTACCGCCAGCACGGTGAGTCCCTCGAAACCGCCCAGTGATGCATGGCCTGTGCGGGGCAGGAATGCACTGATGTGCGGCGCAGCTCCCTCTCTCTCTGCAGCGCTGTCTGATGGGTGCTTGGCAGGTAGCATGTAAGATGGGCCCTGGGCAGTGGGGGCTGCTGTGTGGAGTGGCTCCACTCCTGGTGTGCGCAGTAGGGGAAGAGGCCGGGGCTCAGCCAGGGAGGGGACCTGCGGCGGAGGTCGGTTGCTGCCTGGGAGGCATCTCTGTGATGTCTGGAGGAGTTGACTGGTACTGTCTGGGCTGATGTCACTGCCACTTTGAGAGGACTGCGTGTGGGACCAGGTTGGGGGATGCCCAGATGGAGCGTTGGCATGGCGGTCCATCCTGTGTGTGGAACTTGGCCGACCCTCTATGGCCCGCTGTTGGCAGAAAGGGGGTCGTGACTGGGCCCCATACCGGCTGCTTGGGACCTGAGTGACCACTCATTGAATGTTGTTGAAAGTCCCCTGCGAGGTCCCGAGCCCCCAGTTCACAGGGGGCCAGACTCTCTGGTGGGAACATGGTGGAGACGGGGCTGTAAGGCATGCGGCCCCCGCTTCCTCTGGATTCCAGCAGGGCAGCTGCCCCACCAGGAGGGGCCCTTCCCTTGAAATCTGCAGAGGCCACTGCGCCGACAGACATTCGATGACCCCACTTCCCTGCTGCCCGGCTATCTGGGGAGGTCCCAGCTCGGCTGTTGCCCTTCTCACCAACCAGGACCCTCTGTGGTGACTCCCTGGGTCCGTGGGGTGCGACACTGTGTCCCCAAGCTGTCATTTTGGGCCCCTGTAGCAGTGCTGATATCACAGGCACGTGACCCAGCCCTGGGAACCCCTCTAGGAAGGTTTAAGGCACCAGGCTGCAACGTGCAGAGGGGAGGGTCAGCGAGGGCTCCCAGAGTGGCTGTGACCCCGAGATGCCAGGATCTCAGGGTTTTCTCCGCTCCTACAACCATATCACCCGCTGCTCCCCCAGGCCGAGGCCCCCACAGAGCTGTGTGTCAATCATGATAGCAATGACATGAGAGCAATGACAGCGGCAGCACCAGCTGCATCTGTGGAGCTGCCCCTTGGGCCCCAGGGTGCAGCCAGGGTGCAGAGCCAGCCTCTGATCCCAGCCAACCCCGACTAACCCAATGACAGATGAGGGCTCTGGGCTGCGGAAGGCTAAGAGGGAGACGGGAAGGGATGGGGTCAGGAGCGAGGACGGGAAGGGATGGGGTCAGGAGGGAGACGCTCCTCCCTGTGGGTAGGCCGGCTTGCTGAGAAGGCTACTCAAGGCCAGAGCCCCTCACCACAGCACCCGTCCTGTATCTGGGCCTCCTGTGTCCTGCCTCCCAGGCCCCGGGTGCAGCTGCACCAGGTGGGGGTGGCCGTGAGCACACAGCGCCATCTGGTGGGAAGATGGCAGATCACAGCGAAGGAAGCCAGCTCAGCACCACTGCGGCAGGGCTGGGATGCTCCAGGCACGCCCTCAGGCTCCTGGCAGCGAGTCCCAGGCAGCAAGCAGCCAGGGCAACCAGGAGCCTGAGGAGCATTTAACAGGGCGCAGCCCCAGGATGCAACAGCTCTCATACAATTGGCCAGGAAGGCGTTCAGATGCTTTGGAAAACACCCCCTTCTCTCTCTTGGCTTCAGTCTCTATTTGCTCTCTTCTGGCCAATGAGTAACGGGCAGGAAAAGCTCAGGGCCAGGCTCCCAGGGAGTCTGGACATAGGGGAAGCAGCTGCTAACCCCAGGGCCTTGGAGAATAATAATGTCCAGGCCCAAGAGCGCAGCCGGGCTGCACCCACACAGCTGACCAGGCAGCCCCAGCTGTCCTTCCTCCGGGACTCCAAGAAAGAGAAGGAAGTGATGGCAGGGAGGGAGGGGAGAAGGTGACGCAAATTGTGTGGAGCAGGTGTCTCTGCCTTTCTTGGAGCCGGCATCCCTGTGAAGGAAGACAGAGAACCGCAGGATGTCCCTGACCTGCACATGCCTCTGAAAAACGGCCAGACCGGGAGTCACACTGAGCCCCCAACAGAATTCTGCATTTGGCTCAAGGCAACTTGAAGCACATAGCAGGGGAGAATTCTTGCCTCTGTGTCCTCTTGAAAGAAAGATGAGGATGACCTGATTCTCTGAGATGTTGGGGGGCAGAAGATAAACAAGGGGAACTGTGGTCCTAAATCCCGAAATTCAGAGAATCCCATCATTCCATTGCAAGCCCTACCCCTCGTCTCTGGTCCCCCTTCCGAGACTCTGGGAAGCCAAGGCAGAGGCCCTTCTAGACCTAGTGGACCAACCACAAGCACTGACCAGCACTGACCAGCCACCAGCACTGACCAGCCTCTAGCATTTGCCAGCACTGACCAAAAATGACCAGCAACCAGTACTGACCAGCACTGACAAGCCACCAGCACTGACCAGCCACCCGCACTGACCAACACTGAGCAGCCCTCGGCACTGAGCTACCCTCACGGCCACTGCTGACCGGCCACACCACCCTGGAACTGCTCCTCCTGGGACTGGGGCAGAGGGTCCCCATGGCATTTATTAGAGAGACACATCCCTGTGCTTTTCCAATGGCTAAGCACAGGCTACTGCAGCCTCATGCACCTCCCAGCGTTGGGCCATTGTCCATTCTTGGTTCCAGAGGGCCTCAGGCAGGTCCCAGGCCCCAGATCACGGGGCAGGGAAATGGCATCTCTTGAGGAGTACACAGATATGTCTAGGTGCTTCTCAGCCAGTGTCCACAGCACCTCCCGGTCTAATACAGGCTGGGAGAGGATCCGCAGTCTGCTGCATTGGTCAGGCGGTGGGGTGACGTGCTAGTGAGTGGACAATGGGTGGATGACCCTGGCAGGGAGGGTCTCCTCCACCCTGGGGTGGCTTTTCCAGGTGACTGGGTCACATGGTCATGGGGAAGGGGTGTCTGTAAGTACTCGGGGTTAGGATGGCCCTTGGTGTGTCCTTCTGAAGATGAGTGACAGGCAGGAGCCCCAGGACACCGTCCATGCCTCACCGTGGGATGGAGCAGGCAAAGGGGCCAGCAGGATGGCGAGGGCCAGCCACGCTGCTGCGTGTGCCGCCCGGCTATTTTTACCAAGCCTAATCAAGAACAATCAGCAGAAGCTACAGAGAGGCAGGAGATTTGCATGATCCAGTTCTGAGTCCTAAATGTTAATTAAAAGTTATTTTCCCTTCACCGGCTCTGAGCACGGCTGCACTGCCCACGTGAGGCTGAGCGGGGACCCTCGGCCCTCAGCACTGCCGCCAGCAGGTGAGCGTGGGGTCTGCTGTGCTAGAAGCTGGTGGCCACAGGGGACGCAAGCTTCAGACCCTGCCCCAAGGCCTCCTATGCAGGACCACTGCATGGGTCCTGCAGTGAAGTTCTCAGGGACAGGTCCAGCCAGCACGGGGCGACCCTGGAGATCTGGCACCACAGGCCTTCCTCCAGCCCACCCCCCGACCCACACACATGCCCACAGGGAGGGCCCCCTGGCGTCAGGAAGCCCAGCAATAGCCCCCTTCTTGGTCCCTGCCAGCTGCGTAGCCAAGGTCGGATCACTGGACCTCTCTGAGCAGCAGGATTTCTTTTTTGTTTTGTTTTGTGTTGTTTTGTTTTTGAGATGGAGTCTCACTCTGTCGCCCAGGCTGGAGTGCAGTGGCCGGATCTCAGCTCACTGCAAGCTCCGCCTCCCGGGTTCCCGCCATTCTCCTGCCTCAGCCTCCCAAGTAGCTGGGACTACAGGCGCCGCCACCTCGCCTGGCTAGTTTTTTTGTATTTTTTTAGTAGAGACGGGGTTTCACCGTGTTAGCCAGGATGGTCTCGATCTCCTGACCTCGTGATCCACCCATCTCGGCCTCCCAAAGTGCTGGGATTACAGGCGTGAGCCACCGCGCCCGGCCGAGCAGCAGGATTTCATCCCCACTTTCTACCTAGAATTAATCCCATCTCAAGGTGTCATCAGGAGCACTGCTGATCTATGTGGAAGTTGAAGACTTCAGCAACATAAATCTGCTCTAAAAATGCCACGGGTGGTGCCCCAGGCCCCCGTCCCAGGGGCATGGAGATGGGCGGTGAGCAGACACGGTTCCAGCTTTAACAGACCTGGTATCCTGTCCGTTTTGGCCTTTCAAAGGTGAGGGGCTTGTAGCAATGTCACCAAAACCTTCTCAGCGCAGTTTCCCCAAATGGTAAAGAGGGAGGTCCAGGTGCGGTGGCTCACGCCTGTAATCCCAGCACTTTGGGAGGTCAAGGCAGGTGGATCACAAGGTCAGGAGTTCAAGACTAGCCTGGCCAAGATGTGAAACCCATCTCTACTAAAAATACAAAAAAAAAAAAAAAAGTTACCCAGGCGTGGTGGTATGCACCTGTAATCCCAGCTACTCAGGAGGCTGAGGCAGAGGTCAGAGTGAGCTGAGATCACACCACTGCACTCCAGCCTGGGAGAGAGAGCGACTCTGTCTCAAAAAAAAGAAGAAGAAGAAGAGAGTGGTAGAAATTATTAAGGTATATTATTGTTGTCATTTAAAATGCATACATGATAAGACATATTTTGTACTTTATGTCTTTGTGAATGATCTGTTCCCCGTCCCAAGGCAAGTGTGAATAAAATCAGGTTAAATATTTTTTAAGTAAGAGGGAAGGGAGTCGTGCTGGTTTCCCCACAGGCTCTCCGAGGGCAGGATGAGTGGGTCCCCAGCATTTAGGGCGTGCCTGGCTCAGCCAGTACCTGGTTATCACAGTTGATGTGGAAATACAGATTTTTCTCTCAAAGGGATTAAAAATGGTTTTGCCAGAGGCAGGGGTGTCAGCTGAACTTAGGAGCCCTGGGGTCTGTGGGTCTGTGGCCCTCATGTTTTTGAGGTCCTTCTGGAAGTTCCCGCCCCAAGCCGCCTGAGGATGCGGCCTGCGGTCCCTCCTCGGAAGTGACACTCCTGACCGGGAGGAAGGGCAGCCCCAGCTCTGCAGGGTAGAGGGACTAC